GAGTGAGTTAGGAGAGTTGGTGATCTCTTGAACAAATCACCAGAGGCGCCAAGATAGGTTCATCAAGAGCAGGAAGGAACAAGGGAAAACAGGAGGTTTTCCCCGTGGACCGACCCGTGACGAGATCCTATTCCCGGGCCCTCAACACCATCCCTAGACAATCTATCTGCCAAAGACTTTTCCGATCTCAGGTCCAACTGAATGAACTGTTGACCGCACAGATCTCTAGCCTCTCTAATATGATGTTCTAAGGTCCATAAGCCCATGAAGCTATCAACCATTCACCAGTTTCTGATGGCATATCCATACCATTCTCCAATTGGAAACCCTGTGGTAACCATGTTTATAATTTCCTTGTCCACCTAATCTACACACCTTATGGTACATAGTATTTGTTTCCTACAAATAATTTTTGTAGGACTATTCCATTTTTTTAATGGATAAGAGTATAAAAATAAGCCTCTTTTTGGTGTGTGTGAGAAGGGGATACTCAACTAAATTAAAGTACCTATTTGAAAAACAAGATGGATAAAGTGGAACTGTTTCAAGATGCCACCTCAGTCTCAATGTGTAGAAATCTTTCTATGAACAGTGTTCCCTTTCCCTTGCTTTCTCTAAATGGTGATCCGCTATATATATAGAAAGATTTCCATGATAAGATTCATATTACCCTTCCTATTATTAACAGGATTCAATAATCCATTTTTCTTTATGGAAGATAATTAGGTGTCTAAAAGACTGTTCTCTATATTACTATTAAATATTAATAAGCCAACAAGTTTTCTATATGGGAGTATGCCCTTTAACCAAGGAGAAAGGAAGATATTTTTCCCCATTGTAGGTGGATCTTCACAACCTTTTTTTTTATATGTCCCAAGAAGATAAACTTCATAACCAACAAACATGATAACTTCATAACCAAGAAGATAACTTTACTATTAAATCTAGTGTACCTTGATATAAGCATCCCAAACATGATCATCTGCAGTTACCATTTGCCTGGTTTCATCCCAGGAAAATCCACTTTGCTCAAGAAGTATGTTTATATCATTGTATTGCCTCCTTAGATGTTTGTATCTGTTTTTCAGAACATCTTTATCATGACGAGATCCAAATTTTGCATTGAACAATGTGACCATATCTATCCATGCTTGGCTAATAAACGTATGACCAATCTTATTTCCTCTGTGGACCTGGTCTAGCAATAGTTCAATAAAATAACGGTCCATTGGGGGTGTCCAATATGTCCTTGAACGATCATTACTAATAGGGGTTTGGCTCTCTATTCCTTCCCCTGCAAAATGAAAAGATCCATTAGTGAGTGAAATCGTCCAGCACAAGACATTACAATTTCATATGTTGATCTATATAGCAATAACAGAAAATACAGAAACTAAACACTAAACCTAATACCATAACCACAACCAAAGCTACAATTACCTAAGCTGCTCAAATCAACCTCGGTTGAAAGCATGGGTTGGATTTGGTTATTTTAGCATAAGGTTGAACATTGGTGCCCTAATTCCTTTCTATGCAAGTTCTTTCTAAAGCTCTTAACCTCAATATTATGGTTTAAGAATGGATTCTTGTCCAAAAAGGTTTGCAAATCAATTCATGTAAAGAACTTTAAATGACTTAGGAATTTCATCCTCTGTTATGTCACTCTAATTATCAATAACATCCTAATGATTAAGTTGAAAAATATATGATTAGAGTTAGGTGTGAACGTCTCATTCTGCTCTCAGTCCTTCTCCCTTCTCTATTTATTTTTTTCTCTATTAACTCCAGATCTATGATATCCAGATACTTGTACATGCTTAGCCAGTTTTTAGGAAACTGGACCGGCCAGTCAGACCGGTCGAATCATGACCCAGACCTATATCTGGTTCGGTCATACCATAGAAACCAGAATAGGTAGAGAACTGCCCAAAACCGGCTGACTGGCTGTTTTAACCGCAAAACTGGAAAACCGGTCCCCGTTTCCTATAACCACCCCGGTCTCAAATGTGTAGAATTTTCAAATTGTAAATGACAAGATTCAAATCCATGACCTTTTTACCATGCATATTTCCTTCTTACCATTAACCCACTTCATTATTTGTGTCCATTTATGAATAATATACACATTTTAAAGAAAATATAAGTTAGGCTGTTTGAGCCCTGGTCAATTACTTTTAAAATAAAAGAACTAATCATCTATCCACCACATCCAAGCATAACATTATTGTATAGTATATTATTTATAGTATTTATGTGACCCGTGGAATATATATATGCCACATCATCACAATTTGACCTCTGGTTTGACCACGGTTAAACTTCTGATCCATGAACCTCTCCCCTTTCTAGTTCTATGTTCGGTTCAGTTCTTTGAACATTGTTATTAGCATACCAGTTTCAAATGCAATACTTGTCAGATACGACACTAGATAGTACATGGATACTTCTTGTTGCTGCCAAACTTGGAGTCGAGGGCAGCGAGGTAATTTCCGAGGTCCAAGGGTTGTGGGTTCCACCTGCTAAGAGTGAAAGGGCGTCAGAGGCCCTAGGAGTTTTCCTAGTGGCGAGGACTCTGACGGTCAAGTTAAGTTAGCTGAGGGCTCAGAGTAAGCTAGATCACCACAAGAGAATAAGTGATAGCTCAAGTATGTGTCGTACCTTTAGTTGTAGTGTCCCTTTTATAGTCGGAGTTGCCCAGGTAGGGAGTAATGAACGACGAGTAACCATCCAGTGGATTGCGGTCACGTAGGGGGACTTAGAGAGGTCGACCGACCACGATCCCATAATTAGCAACTCAAGAGTAAATATGCCAGGATCGTGCACCCACATTAAATGCTCCACAACTATCAAGGGCGGGAACCCCATTGCCCTTGGGAAACTATCAGTTAACGGAAGTACCACTAGACGAGGTCACATGTCAGGGTCTGGTGAGCCGACCCAATATGCCTACATCATTTACCCCTCACTCTCGAGGCTGAGGTCAAGGCTGTTGGGTGATTTGCGTTGAGGCTTCAGCCTCGGCTGATGAGAGTAGCCATTGGCTTTGTCATGCCTATATGTTGTTCGTTGTCCGTGAGCGAGATGGATCGATGTGGTCTTGGCCAAGTCACCATGGTCTGTACAGGTGCTTGCTTCCGTTGTCCGACAGTCGTGTCCGGGACGGGTGTTGGCTTCACCGATCAAGGAGTTGTGCCCAAGACGGGCCCAGCTTCAGCTACCCAGGAGCCGTGTTTGGGACGGATGGTCGTATGGTCAAACCGGTTCGAAATATCTTGAGCTGGGGACGATGGGCAAGCCGGCTTCGAGCCTCAATGTCATTCCGTCTTTCGAGGTTGATGCCACATGGAGGTCGTTGGCACGGGTTGTTGAAGCAGTCCGATTACGGCCATTGGATGGAACGAATCTCAACCGTCCATTTTCCTTTAAAAAAGGGGAGGAGATGGGGGAGACTTCATCATTTGCTCGTAGTGCATTTGCCTGGTGTTCCTCAAACCACCTCGGCTTCTAGCAAATTGTTTCCCAGTCCTTTCTTCCAAAAACCTTTTCTTGGTAAGGCCTCGCCTTCCGTGATGTCAACTTCCGATTTTGGTCATCAGGCCTATTCCTTTCCCAACTGGAGTGATCCCAATAATATCTCTACTCCCAGCAGTAGGGGGAGCAGTAGTAGTAGTAGTTCCGAGGGCACCTCTCGGACTTCTAGTGTAGAGGTTCTATGAGAAAGAGTCACGACTCATGAGGCCGAATGTGATCAACATAGTGTGGACTTCATGAACGAGAGTACCAGATCCACTAGGCCAAGGGGTGACGTCCCTGTGTGTCCCTCTACCAGGCCTTTGAGGGGAAATGCCCTAGGGAACTTACCAGCGCTTCCCATGGTGGTAGATGTTGAGGAGGCTGGGGGGCCGATTGGCGAAGAGGAGATCGAGGCCGAGGGTCAAGGTGTGAGACTGGAGTGATGTCCTCACTCAGACTTAGATAGCATTCTTGACCGGTAGTAGGTTAGGGCCTTGGCCGAGAAGTATTTCATTTTGGGGGACTATAGGATTAGAGTCCCCTATGTCGGCGATAGGCCATAGCTCTGCCCCGAAGGGGAAGTGTGCCCACGAGCATTATCTTCACTTTGGGTTGTGTTTCCTTTTGCACCCTTTGATCCCTGACTTGTTGAATCATTACAAGTTAACCCTCACTAGCTTGCCCCTAACGTCGTCAAGATGATAATAGCCGTCTTGGTGATGGCTCGTCTCCGAGGGGTCTCGGTAACAGTGAACCTATTTCGGAGCTTGTCCGATTTAAGGAAACAGCCCGATGGTGAAGGGTTATGGTACTTCCAGGGCCAATGGGGAAAGGTGGTGGACAACCCGTCGTTCGTTCACAACTAGAAGAAGTTTTTCTTCGTAAGTTGTCCCGAGGGTTGGTCCTTCCATACTGGCTGGAGAAGCCCAGATACGCTAGCCAAGAGGATCACACCACGTAGCAATGACGAGTTGAAGGCCATGATGAATCAGCTTCGTTGGGTGGGACGATTCATGCCAAACCCTTGGTGAAGGAGGAAGCCTTAGTGATGGACGGCCTTAGTCCTGCCCCCCTTGGTATGGGCACTCCTATTACTTGTTGATTATAGCTTTAGTCAAGCTTTGGTTTATCTTTCTAACATATTGTTGATTCATTCTTGCAGAGATGGAGGGTGACATGAAGGCCATGTTGCTGGCAAAGGCAGCCACTTCCAAGAAGACTATGAGGAAAGGTGTGGCCGAGGGGACACCTCGGAGGCAGCCAGGACGAGGGTTGAGGTTGAGGCTGAGGCGGCCAAGAAGAAAACCATTGCCCAGAAGCAACCTTTCGAAGGTACCCAAGACCCAAGGGCCACCAAGAAAATGTCAGTCAGGGATCGCCGGACCGAGGGGCCTTTCAGTTGATCTCGGTAGGTTACCTCCCGCTCCTTTGATGATCAAGACGACAAGCCCCTGGTCAATCGTTGGTTGTACAAGCCAATTTGGAATGTCAGAGAGGGGGACAACCTATCCGCCACTAGCATCGGCCACCAGCTTGCTATAGGCATGGTTCTTCATGGGGATCGTCAGTCTTGGACCTAGCATTCCATCAATTCGATCCGAGGCACTTTGCTAGACAAGGCGGCCAAGGTATGACCTTGCACTTCATGAACTCCTTAAGTACTATTATTAACTTAAATTCAATTTTTTTATAATCTGACTCATGCTTCTCTTGCATATGGTTTCCTGCTCCACTAGCCTCTGCGACAAAGTGGAGGTCTTGATTCAACAACTACGACAGGCACAGGAGGAGGTCGACAAGGCCAAGCATTAAGCAGGGCGGGAGGTGTTTGAGATCAAAGCTCATGAGGAATATGAGCATCGTAAGAAGGCCAAAGCCAAGGTCATAGCCAAGAGGGAGATGGTGAAGGACCTGAAGTCTTCCCTCAACTCGATGGAGCGCCAACTCGAGGAATCATCTACCCAAGTTGTGTCCGACTATAAGGCCTCGAATGAGCACAAAAGGGATTTGGCGTTAAACAATTGGATCCCGAACTTTAACATTAATCAGTTGGATCCCTTCCCAAAAGGCCAACAGTCAGTCAAAGTTGTGGAGACAGCCAAGGATCAAGGTGGCCAAACTGTTCAACATGTTGGCGGGTAGGAGGTGGTTGTTGAGGGGAACACTGGGGCTGATGGCTAGACTGGGGATGCCCAATAGATTCTTTGTCTTTGTGGTTTCTTGGGTCTGCGTGCCCTTTCTTGGAAAATGTTCTCTTTGCTTTTTTTTTTGTAAGTAAAGGGGTTGATGCCCCCTTGGAGCACTTTTTTTTAGAAAAGAACAAGTATTAATAGAACACTTCTTTTTTGAAAACATGGGCTTGCTTTGTTTTAGCGTATGCTTGTTCTTGTACTTAGTTAAGTGAGTAGTTAGCTTAGGCTCTTTTCCTTTAGCCAAGGTGTCTTGACCTCTACCTGGAGTTTGATATTAAAGCCTTTAACCACAAGTCACTTAGTATGGATTGCCAAAGTCTCGAGGTCATGTGCTTTAGCCAAAGAAGGTTCGTTGGGCATTTAACCTTTGTATGGTTGTATGCCACGGGTTGGGGCCTGTTGGGCGTGTAACCTGTGTAAGGTTATATGCCACGAGTCGAGGCCGACGGTCGAGGGGATTCTAGCAACAAAAGAGGCGAGAGTGTTTGCACACAAAATTTGGCAAAGTGAATAGAGAGGAACTTGCACTTTTGCTTTCATTAAAATTCTCTAAGTACGTATGGCTTCACTGATAGTACATACGGAGGTTCTCGATTCTATAAGGCCTTTCCCAGTTTGGGTCGAGCTTCCCGACACCAAGCTCAAGGACGACGACCTTCTTGAGGACAAGGTCATCTTCTTTGAAGCGACGCTCCCAAACTCAAGAGTTGTAATATCTTGATACTCTTTGTTGGTAGGCGGAGACTCTGATCTGAGCTTGTTCCTGGGCACCCTCTAGCAGATCAAGGTTATTTCTCAATTCTTCACTGTTCTCGGCTTCATTGTACGCTTTTGTCCGAAGCGTTGGTTGGCCTATCTCTACTGGGATGACAGCTTTTGTTTCGTACGTTAAATTGAACGGAGTTTCACCTGTGGTCGTCCAGGGTGTTGTCCTGTATGCCCATAGTACATTGGGCAACTCATATGCCCATAGTCCTTTAGCTCTATCCAATTTGTCTTTCAGTCCATCTAAGATGGTTATGTTGGTAACCTCAGCCAATCCATTAGTTTGCAGATAGCAGACCGAGGTGTACTACTTCCTTATGCTTAGGCTTGCGCACCATTCCCTGAACTTGGAATCATCAAATTGGCAATCGTTATCAGTGACTAGCATGTGTGGAATGCCGAAGCGACAGATGGTGTTTTTTCCAGAAGAAACTCTAGATAGTCCTTGTTGTTTGTAATGGTTGCCAAGGCCTTGGCTTCTACCCACTTCGTAAAGTAATCCACTGCCACAATCAGGTGTTTTTTGTTCCTTGTTGCTGGAAGGAAAGGTCCAAGTATGTCCATCCCCCATTTGGCAAATGACCAAGGGCTGCTGAGTAAGGGTGTACAATCAGTCAGTTCGGTTCGGTTCGGTTAGAACCGAGGACCTAACTGACTATTCAGTTTGACCATTTTCTCTAACCGAACCAAACCAAACTGAACCTAACCGAATTCGGTTTGGTTGGGCCCTAATTCCACATAAATGACAAACATTGATCGATAATTAATAAATAATTTATAATTAATAAGTGTTATTAATTAAAAGTTAAAATGGCCCCAAAACCCAATGGTTTTAAATATTTGACTATTATTATTAATTAAAAGTTAGAATACCCCAAAGCCCAATGGTTTTAATTAATTAGCTATTGTTAATTAAAAGCTATGCCCAAAGTTCAATGCCAATGGGGAATTGGCGAATTGGGCATTTTTCAAAAACAATTAATAATTAATGAACAATTAATGATTAGTCTAGTTGTTACGTTTTGTTACATTGCATTAACATCACTCCCACTTGGCCTAACTTCTTGCTAATGTGGCTTCCTTCTCTTCTAAACCTGATACATAGGCTGGCTATTCCCCATACATGGGCCTTGGCTCACCATAGGTCTTAGTCCTAACATTAGCCAAGGCTAACAATCCAAATGGTTGTATCTTTTCTCATGTACTTATTTAAAATCCTAATAAAATTCTGACACATCTATTCATCCAAAAAAAATTGCAAGTATGGAGTGGAGCAACATGTCTCCCTACCATAGATGCTCCATGAAAAGTTATAGCATGCACATATGCAAGCTCCAATGGCAATTCCAAGGATCAAATGTTGAAGTACATTTCATTTTCTTTTTTACATTCACTTTGGTGCAAAGTCCATGGTTCGCAACTTTGATACCGATGGACATTTCACCATGAAGAAATTGGAAGGTTTCAGGGATATCTTGCCGGTTTTGCTAAAATATTCGGAAAATCTAAAGAAATTAGGGGAATTACTAAAACTATACAATCTATTAATGAAATTCCGTGGATTGTCAAAATAAGTATAATTGCACATTTAAGACTCGACCATAACAAGCAATTATGTAGAACAAATAAAAGAATATTAAGAGAGTTAAATAGGCATCTCTTTCTTATCTCCTTTTTAGTCTTTTAGACATCTTCTCTCCTATAAATAAGTCATTCACTTGTCATTTGTCATTTTATTTCCATCTTTTTTATTACCATATGTTTTGATTAAATTGAAAAAATTCTTTTCCATTGTTTTTGTCTTTTCTTTTTCACTCTCCTATGTAATTTCTTCTTTCCTTTTAATAATTTTATTTTATTACCAAAAAAAATATAGCCTCATAGAGAAATGGGCAGATTTCAAGAAAAGTTTGCCAAATCTTGCAAATATTGCTAACCATACTTATTGCATGTTTTGCAAAACATGCACACAGACATACATATGCTATGAAGGCATTAAAAGTGTCTCTTTTAAATAAGTTAGTTCTCCTACTCTCTATCAGACATTTATTTCAGCTGGATTAATTGATCTAGGTTGAACTTGGATGAAGTTGGACCTGTAATGGCAATCAAACTCCTCATTAAAGCATAGAAGTTCATTAATTTATATGTTAAAGTTAATGGAATCATTCAAATATGAATTATCATTTTGTACATCTTCATGATTAAAATCACTTCATGATCATTTGTTGCCAGAGATTTTACATCTTATTAATATGAAATTTCTGCATGGTGCAAATAACTTAATCCTAGGATAATTCTGGATAGTTGAAACATACCAGTTTTTGCTGCTAGAACATCATCTTCAAGGTGTTTATCTTGACCCAACTGATTGTGTTTTCCTCCAGCAGTTGAATTTCCATGTATAATGCACAAATCATTATAGTTTGGAAAGGTTCTTGTTCTATATGAGCGAGCATGTGGATGTCCCTACATGAATTGTTTGTGAGCTATTCCAATCAACACCATTGCAGATTTAGTAAAATATTTAAAATAATGCACCACACCTTGATGTAAACATCCCAGATATCATCGGCAGCAGTTACCCTATGTTGTGTATCATCCCAGCTAAACCCATTCTGCTCAAGAAGAACTGTGATGTCACTGCAGTACTTCCACAATTTCTTGTACCTATGTCTCAGAACCCTTTTACCATATTGAGAACTGAACTTCTCATTGAACAATATAACCATATCTGTCCATGCTTGTTTACTAAATGTATGATCAATCTTGTTCCCTCTTTGCAATTGGTCAAGCATGAGATCAATAAAATAACGATCCATTGATGGTGTCCAGTCTGTCCTTGGACGGTCTATACTTGTAGAGGCATGGGCACTTCCACCTATTACAAATTGTAGATCACTAGCAAAAATAATCATACATTCATCAGACAAAACACATCCTCCACACAAATTGTGGTGTAGCATGATCAGGCCAACACAACCCGGTACAAAAGAAGGGTAAGGTTGAACATTGGGTTAGAATTAGGGTTGGAAAATGCCAACACAAGGTAAGGTTGAGGTCTCAAGGAAACCAATATGTGTAGCCAGGGGGAGGTTGAGAGAGGAAGGGCAGTGTATCCATGATAATGTACATAAGTAATGCCTTTCCATGATTATGTACATTTAATTCAACACGACCAACCCGCTTTTTTGACTGGCTTTGATTAGGGTTGGATTCAATTGTTTCGTATAACATTATTAGGTGGTTATCTAATGGATCAGGTGTGGATTGGGATTCAGGGCCAACCCATTAAACATCCATTTAAGAAGATGCAAAATGGGTGTAATCCAACCCAACTCATTTATCTATAATGCTTACAAGTTATTAATACTTATGGTTTCCTGACATCAATGCTATATGATCTTTTCTGTCCAAATTGGTGTGCTAAGACCAATGGCTATCCAGGGGTACTTCTCAGAGAGAGGATCAGAGCTAAACAAAAAGAGAGAAGAAGATCTGAACAGAGGATCAGGCTTCTTCTTTTGCTTGGATAACCCATGGCGAACCCATTAAAGAAACACCCATTGGGTTCTGACCTGTGAATGGCCTATAGGTAAAATCAGTCACCAACCCAACCCTCAAATAAATTGGCAGTTGAACGGTTCTGGTCAAGAACCACCACCCTTATATGATGCCTATGTATTATTTGCATATGTAGTGTGTGCATGTGTGCGTTTGTGTGTGCAATTTGGTTATGAATATCCTAACCTGACTAACCTGTTTTCTTGATTGAATTGGATTAAGGTTGAGTATATCTGGTTTGGTTACAGCTACGGTTGAGGGTATCAACACAACTAGCGGTCTAGGATTGACCTCAACCTAACCCAACCTAGCCTAAATTTCCCTTCTAACACAAAATTGATCATCTTAGCCATATTAAATGGTAGAGAAGATGCTCATTACTTAGAAAAAGGAAAAGGAGAGGTTCCCTTATACAAGATTTAAATATTGATTTCAAAGAACAGCTAAAAGCAACATATATAAATTTCCCCAAAATTAGGATCATCTTAGCCATATGAGAATTTTCAAAGGCACTGCATGCTTATCTGTCTCCTAATAATATCTTAATTCTCTAAGTCATACAACTTGAATATTGTAAAAAGAGAAAAAAAATCTAGATTTATAATGCAGAGGAACGATTATTACCAATTAGTTAGAAGATTGGCTAATAGGATGGTTGACACACTAGCCAAGCAAGGGGTTAATGGGGATCATTTGTATTGGGCTCAGTTGTGGTTTAATCTTTATATTTGTATTTTTTGGGTGACGGTGCACCTGGCACCTGTCTAAGGGATGCTTGTATTGTTTATGCATATTGCTGTTTTATTAACAAAATTTATTAAGTCACTTATCAAAAAAAAGTGATGGCTATTACCAATCTTCATAGATGAGACATCATCGTCAATGTCTACATCATGGCTTGAACGACTATATCTACCATCAGCAGCAGTGTATCCATATATCATGCACAAATCGTTGTAGTTCAACACAGTTTTGGTTTTGTAGGACCGTGCATCGGGATGTATCTGCACATATTTTTGTTAGTTAAATGAAACAAAAATGGCACAGATTTCTTTAGCAAATCTGAATAAACAAGGCACCTTGGTATATGCATCCCAGACATAATCTTCAGCTATTACCATTTGCCGGGTTTCATCCCAAGCAAACCCACTCTGCTCAAGCAAAATCTTTATATCATTAAATTGCTTCCACAAATTTGTGTATCGACTTTTCAAGACATCCTTATCATATTGAGATCCAAATTTTGCATTGAACAATGTAAGCATATCTGTCCATGCTTGTTTGTTGAATGTATGACCAATCTTATTGCCTCTATGCATCTGGTCTAGCATAAGGTCAATGAAATAGCGTTCCATTGTTGGTGTCCAATATGTTCTTGAGCGATCGCCGATAGTTGGGTTTTGGCTACCCATCCCTTCACCTATGATTAAAAGAACAGTACAAATAATCAGTAATTCATCAGAAGGAACCATTATTCCAAATATCAATTTATTATGGTTAGAGAAACTTCATTCCCTTTTTCTTTTTTTTTTTTGGATGAGGGATAGTGAACTTGTTTTCTTTTTTACTTTACAAATAATGGACTTTATTAATAAAAAACAAAAAAAAATATACAAGTTGTACACATTAAGGAAGAGAAAGGACGATGATATAAAAATAGCCATGAACCGAACTCTCCAAAGAGAAGCCTATCTACCTCATATATACAAAATAGCCAGACAAGAGCAAGGCACAACCCCCTCCAACCCGCCCCCCCCCCCAAAAAAAAAATAAATAAATAATAAAAATCAAGCATTTTAAGTCATATCTCTCTCAGAAGAAGAGATCAGCACTCAGAAACTAGAAAAAAGGCAATAACAGACCATCAGCAAAACAATCCTACTTGTTCCTCCCCCCCTTCCAGCATAAATAGCACCATCAGTAATTAGAACTCCAAAAATATATATTAAAGATTATTGAGAATAGAATTTCCCCTTCTGTCTTCTCTCCCTCTTCCTCTACTTACAGGATACCACCACCTCTTCCCCCTTCCACTTAATAGGAATCTTCTGCCCATCTTTCAAGTGGTAAGTCTCTCAACATTAAGTAACATGTAGGAGACTCTTGAAACAAATTTTCAACCACAATCACATTCACCAATTTAATATCTCTGTGGTCAATTCCAAACCATTCAAAAGATGGGAATCATGTTTGGACAACCCACACAAATTTAATGTCATTTCTGAAAGTTGTGGCACCATTAAAGAACCCACATAAACATTCCCTGTTCAGAGCTTGAGTTTCCAACATTATACTGAAGAATTATGTTGGTTTTCCTTCAGCATGCATAGAGATCACATGCTTTATCATGATCAGTGCCTTGGACACTGCAAAAATCAATGTTGGACAAACTTTTAAATGGATGAAATGTCCATGTGGGACACTGATCACATTCCAACATTCGATGGATTCTTGAGGGACACTTCTATTTCTATGTATCATTTCCCATTCTCTCCCTGCTTTTTTGACATAACTGAACAGCTAAAGTATACAACAGATACCATGTTTCCTATTAAATTTTATTTGTAACAAAGATAAATTTATAGACCTTTTCTTCTGCAGGTTATAATAAAAGTCAAAAGAAAGCATTGACTTTTTTCACAGTTTATACTTCCCTATAGACATATGTGCCAGTCTTGTTTTTTCATATTACTGAGTCAGACTTCTCAGACACTAGTCAGATTATTCTCAAGTCTATCCATGCAATACTATGCAAAAATAGACTTGTTGTGGCTCCTGGTAGTTGTTAATGGCTTTGTTTGGTCCATTGGGCCCTTTGAATGTGTAAAGTTTATTTGGTGGAAACAATGCTGAATGGAAAGTTGTAGAAGATTACTATATGCTCTGATGCAGTACAAGTGTACAACTAGATGCATACCGACTCTTGTTTCACATACGATGGAAATACAACAGGAGATAGCTTGCTGGGTTGCACCATTATGTCCATAACAATGAGGATAAAGCTTACATGCACTAGCATTGCCATTCTGTTTTCCTTGAATGTTGAAGTGCCCTATAGAGCATGTGAACAAAGCAAAAAAGGGACACTAAGAAGGGATGGAAACTACAGATAAGGTATCAAAAATCATGATGTCAACACTGCAATACTAGCATAAACACTTTTAGGAAAAGTACTTTTGGCTACTAGGTTCTAAAGATGATGATTGTGGCCTTTCTTCAGCATGATTCAGATGATTTTATGCATCATCAGTTATCGTAATGGTACCATTGGATGCCCTCCTTTGCACTATAATATAAACCATAAGTTGGGAAAAATGCACATAAGTAGAGTTATTGGCTACCTGGAGAGTTCATCTCAGGGAAAATAATTCACAAAAGAGCACATAATTATTGCACTTCTAACCATATCCAGTATTTGGCCCTTCCTTAGCATCTATGCTACCCATATATTTCTGGGAGGCAACTCATTTTTGCACTTTTCTACTTGAAATTGGACTGTCAGACACAAGCATGGTGTCTGTTCTTAAGTATCCAGGCAACATTGCCAATTTAGTTGAGTCACAACAGTATATAGATCTTAAGCCAATAAATTACATGATATATGACCTACCTATATTACATTAACCAAGCAACTAACACCTGTTCACTCAAGTATTTAATGATTAATTTGACAAACTAATTCAGAATCGAGCCTCTCGACTTGACATGATTTTATGTCTAGCACTCTAGGTATTACGAAAAGTTATCATCATTTATTCACTCCACTGAGGACAATACCTGTGATTTTGAATTTCTTCCTTAATGTCTCAGTTAATTGGGTAGTGCCATATAGGAACATGTCTAGATAAATAGTGGACAGAACCATCAGACCCTCAAAGTTCAGGCCAAGTTAACCATAGACTAAATCAAGTTCCACAGCCTGAAGTGAATAGGTGGACAAATAATACATTGAAGAATAATATAACATCATCAAGTAAGAAGACAATCTAAATCCACCGGAACTGGCAAAAATTCCTTCTATTACTCATGGGCACAAAAACATTCAGCCACTAAAATGTAAAAGGATTTTTTTCTGGTTTTGATATAGAGATGGCAATTTTGGACCTCCAAATTTTAGATATGCGGGGAACATCCTTAATTATGATCCAGAAGTGTTTCTTTTTTTCAAAGATAAAGGCACCCTAATGAGTTCACCTTATTATTAAACTTATGAGTACTAGTATCTTTTCTCTTTTCAAAGGGTATTTTTCCCTATCAGCACCATTATGGGCCTGCAAGAAGACAAAGAACTTCAAAATTCAAGTAGAGTAATTTGCTATAAATCTACAATTATAAGCTTAAAGAAACCTATTTGACCAAGCACTCACAAAGTCGAATTTGAATCCTGTAAGTTTAACTTATAACATTAGGTCAATCATGACACACCACATAAGCTTCTTACACATGGGGCCCATGTGTCAGGATGACATGGCTTGCACAGTATCCTTCAGTTCCCATAGAGAACTTGGACACCATAATGTCAACTTCTAACTGCACTATCATTACTGTTAGTATCATTTTCTGAAGATATCAAGACTGACACTTTGATTTATGCCAAAACCATGGGTATATACCAAAGACATAAAAAATGACACTCCAAAAAATGCGGTCTATATTTCATGAATTTGCACAGACGACACACCCACACTCCAGAGAAAAGGTGACAACCCTCAGATTTTCTAGTACAGATCTAACAATCAGGAAACTTTCTCGATGGGCCAAAAGGACTCATGCATGCATCTGTATATGTGGAAAAAATGGTTTTCTAATCAGGTAAATCAGGGAAGAGCTAGATGACCCATCTATTTGACCATGTATATTCTATGGCCCATCTAGATCATCCATCAGAAAGAGGAGCCTCTGGATCAGTTGTGTTATATTCACTCATGCACTATACATCAGCCCAGTATTTCAAATAGCCATCGAACTTTTCATTTTCTCAATTTATTTAAAAAGGAATGTCTTTACAGAAAGGTTTATTTTGCAGACTTGGCTAGGGTTTTTGCGCTGAAATTTAACTTGTCAATAAAAGGATGGAAAGAGGAATGCTTGGGTTTTTTCACATGGGAGGTTCTTGAGCCGTTTTAGACACACAGACACATGTATGTAATGGGTTAAAACATTTGTTCCTCACACCTGGTACATGGCTAAGAAAATGCAAATGATCAGACCCCAGAGGCTCAAACATTAGTTAATGCCTTTCTAAGAAGCACTTCTGTCTAGTGCATAAATTAGTGGTTAAAACAGATTCCACGAGTCAAATCCAACAATTCAATGGCCTTTTTATCTCATGCACTGAAGTATACTACCACTTCTACTGTTATTTAACACCTTAAAGCATGCCTATTCTTTTCCAATATGCAGATGACATCCCCCTTAGCTGAGACAAGCTGTTAGTTATATTGCATAAATGGATATCTTGGTTAACAGTTTTCTCTGAAGGAACTAGGCAAGCTTCAGTGATTTCTTAAATATAAAAGCTCACCAATGCTCATCTACTTTTGAAGTTGATAAAGTCCAATAACAGGCTTCAAACCTTGCAAAACTTTAATGTCTCTGCTTCTAACTCTCATGCATAATCGTGCCCTCTCAATGATTTAAGGATTATCAATGCATTTGAGCATCTTGGTTAACAGTTTGCTCTGAAGTAACTAGGCAAGCTTCAGTGATTTCTTAAGTATAAAAGATCACCAATGCTCATCTACTTTTGATGCTGATAAAGTCCAATAACAGGCTTCAAACCTTGCAAAACTTTAATGTCTCTGCTTCTAACTCTCATGCATAATCATGCCCCTTCCAATGACTTAAGGATTATCAGTACATTTGAGCATCTTGCATGCTCAACTAGACATTACCTATGTAGTGAACCAAGTTTCCATCTTATGACTATGTCCCATATTCAGGCTACCAAATGCATATGCCATCAAAAAGTGCAGTTAGTCTGCTTAGATCTTACTGCAATATAAATATCATATTCAGTTTTTTTTTTTTTGCAATTATTATTGGTTTAATTGTTAGATCAATATGATTCTACAACATGAATGTTCATAATCTCTGGCAAGAGCCCATATTAAAAAACAGCTTAACTGCAACATAGTGTCAAGCCTAACTGACAAAAAAAATGACAACAACAACAACAAACAGACAATAGGCATTCATAAGGATGGATACAAAGCACTAGTTGTTAAGCTGCTGTCACTTCTTTAGCTATCCTACGTTCTCATAGACATAGATGTTCTTTTCTCTTCATTTGTTTTGTATGTGAAAATAATTGTGTTACCCTCATGCCCATCAATCTGGAACTTAGTGAATGTGGAATTCCGTGCCTAGATGAGACATATCAAAATCATTTAATAAAAGCCCCTCAAGATGGAAATCAGAAACCCTTTTGTTGCGATATACCAAGAACTGCTGTGCCCACCATCAGTTGAAGTGGAGTAATAGAGCAATCATCAATACATGATTCTTTATTTATGTCGTTTCTTCATTTACATCTTTTAAGCATTTACATTTATGTCATGGATATAGAGTCAAGATCAAACACTGGTTTGATGTTTGAGTGTTCCAAATCTTGACTATTTCTCATTCTTGACTTGAGGCAGGGTGTTCAGATTTTTTGTTCAAAATTTTATATCTTTATTTACTTTATACTTTGCATTTGTTTCTTAATGGGTCCAGTTGGTTTCTACTGGGTTTACAGAGCTGAAACAAAAAAGCCAATATTAAGCAGACACCCGTACTAATACTATGATTTGGCTATCAAAAGAGACACTCAGAAATTCACGCTCGAATACTTCTGCGTGTTGGTCTGGATGTCTGGATTCTCAAATTTACAATTTCCATTAGAAAAACAGAAAAAAAAAAAAAATCAAACTTCGTTTCATTTTACACTCTGCAAAACCAGCCAAACATGCGAACTCTCAGCTTAACAGAAGATTCTTCTCATCGAAACACACATTAACACAAAATAACAAATCAATGCTCTGCAATCAAGCAGAGGCTTCAAACCCAGATGGGTTTCAAGCAATGAATAAGAAAGAGACACTACTAAAACCACAAGCCGGCTTCACACAAACACCTGCAGAGACAGTCCAATATAACCAGAAGAGAAAATTTAAAAAATAATAATAATAATAGAAAAGCGCAACAAAACAAAGAAGACAACGTTTAGCGGTGGAATGGAAGGATTACTGTTCACCTCTGATTTCAAGTTTGGCGCCGAGAAGATCCGAGAGGGCGAAGGCTAAACCTACTCCAGAATAAGGGGAAAAACTTTTAGGGCGTGTTTGGTTGCAGAAGAAGCACGAAGCGTCCGATTGTTCGTGCGGGCCGTGCCAGATAATAACACAGCGAGGACGGATTTGGAACGACAGCGTTGCCGCTTGGCTGTGACCTGCGAGATCTTTGGCCTTTGGGAATGGTGAACATGGGCCTCCTCATGCTAAAAGCCCATTTTGGGCCCATTATCAAATGGCCCTCGTAAGCTCGCAACTACCCACTTTTGGGCATGGATTAACCCATTAAGAGTAAATTTTTGATTTTTTTTTCAATTGTAAAATACTGAACTGAAAAGTTTGTTGTTGGAATAAGATTTTTAAGGGGGTTGGGGCTCCTTAGTGGCTGAAGTTGGGTTAAGAATGGCAAATACAGCAATGAGAAAGAAGATGAGTTCAATGAGAGATAAACCCTCTTTATAATTGAAAGTCGGAATTGGAAAGATAAACATAAATGGCAAAAGGTTGGAGAGAAAGGCGTTGGGATAGGTTTTTCTTTTTTGTTGTTTTTTTTAATTATTTTGATACAAATAATAAAATAATAGGTAATTCCTAAACGGCACAAAAATGTTAAGATGGAAGGAGCATTAGTCGGGACAAGTGTCACACAGCTATTCGGTGCTCACTCATAGTGCTTACCTAACGTGCCTACTACATCCGGACACAAGATAGCTTCTTAATTTACTGTATAGAATAGTTGATCGTGACACCATAACTATCTGTCCCCTTGTTCATGCTCTCCATGACCCAATCACTACTCGCTTTCACTCAGGCCCTTGCCGACTTCGACAATCTTTAATTAGTTGTTGCCTTTGAGGTCTCAACAATAAAATACAAAATAAGATTAACTAGACACAACTACATCATCTTTGTGCTCATTCCACAATCAACAAGGATGGGCACCTCTGCAACAAGCCATGGGGCAAGACCCAAACATAGAGCATGCGCAGTACCAAATATACGATAGTTTTCATTCCACAGTGGCTTGAAGTGGATGGTCAAGTAGATTTTCCCACCTCTATACATCTTATATATGTGTCTTTCCATCGAACTGGGGGAGCTCGATCTCCGACGCCGTGGAAGGGTAGGTAACGAGAATGTCGAGTTGAAGATCGAATTCGTATTTGAGGAGGTTATGGATGTACCAACACTTGCCAATCTACCTCGTCCCCTCAAGGTTTGCAACAAATATCCTAAACCAGTCATTGTTGTTGGATTTGTTCATCCCCGTATATGCTATCAACGCCTTGTACTCCTCCTTCAGCCTCTGCACACATGTTGCTCCATCCCTTAAACCCGTCTTCGTCATCAATAGAGGGATCTATGTCAGTGTCGATTTCGTGTTCAGATCCCAACCTTCCATCGCTAAAACCCTCTCTCCCACTCTCGCTTGCTCGGTTGCTTTCCCTTTGGTGGTCTCACTACCTAGCTTGACCATGGGCATCTGATATTCTTGCACCATGTGCTTAACTTCATCTAGGCAGCTTCCCTTGAAAGACTTGGCAACCATTTTCCAGTTCAATGGGTCTTGTTGGACACAGAAGCTTTTGATGGTGCCGTTGCTATCGCAATTCTCATGGGTGAATTCAATTTTCTCAGACAGAAAAGACTAAGTGATTCCAATGAGAAGAGTTGCTCCTGTTCAGCCTTTTTGTGAGAAATGCATATTAATTAAGTCGGAGGTGGTGGTGGGGAGGAGCAACAAAGTAGAAGTAGAGAGCTTATGAGATTTGATTTGAGTGAAGAAATCTTTCCTTTAGATAATAGCCTTTTCCATCTAGATTGAAATAGTTATGTTCCTCTTCAGACGGTGGAGTTCAAGGATTAGGAAAAGAGGATAAAGAGGTCAAGGGAGATTTTTTTTTATCGATTTTCAAATAGAGGTATCTTAGAGCATTAGATTGCTTTGAGCGTTACACTGCTCAAGAGAGCGTAATTAAGATTGCTTAGCGAGGAAGCTGCGACATACTTGATGGGAAATCTTGAATGAGACTGGGGATCCAAGAAGCAGACAGATTGGAAGGTTTCAGTGAGGAGGTGAGTATGGAGAGAAGCCTGAAAGCGCTACATAGAAAATGTAGGAAGTCGCTATATGGGAAGATCGTGGCGAACAAGCGAATGAATACTCATGGTGTTGTACAAAAAATAAGGAATTTTTGGATGAACAACCGTTATGAGGTGAAATGGTTAGAAGGAGAACTACTATGAATCAGCTTCCAGAAGGAAAAGAATATGAGAAGGTTCATGCTGCAGGAGCCATGGCTAATTGAAGGATGCCCCCTTCTGCTGAGAAAATGGTGTCTGAATGCCCCTTTGGACCAGCTTGAATTCACGGAGTTGTGCATCATTGTACGCATCCTAAAAGCTCCAGTAGATAAAAGATGTTGGCAATGGGGAGCAAAAATGGTGGTAGTCACAGGTGAACCAGTGAAGGAAGAGGATGTGGAAGAAAACAACAAAGAAAGCCACTGGTGATTGGAAATTTCGATGAGGACGATGAAGGAAGAAGGTGTGGTATAGGTTCCAGTATGAAAAACTATTGAAATATTGTTATAGGTGTGGGATTATCGGACACGAGGAGAGAGGTTGCCAAAGGATCTCTAACATGCAGATGTTGGAGGAATTAGCAAGCAAGATAGCAGAGTACAATCTGAATATAGAAGGGGGTTTGGCAAGCTATGGCCCTTCTCTTCACGCTTCACCAGTTTGGAAGGAGTTTAAGTTCATCAATCAAGTAGGGAATTTGGAGGAGAAAGGCAAGGCGATAGAGATGGATAGAGCTCTGCATGAAAGGGAGGAAAGGAACCCATAATTGGAACGAGGTGGGATAGGTTTTAATTTGGGTATCATAGTGGTTGGTGAGGTCTCTTGCAAGCACATTAAGAACCATGGTGAGAGATCAAACTTGAGTGGATCGTGTAAGAAGAGCCTCTTCCTGGAGGGGTTAAACACTAAGTCGGGGCGGTAGAGGGTTTCTTCACAGTTATCATATCGCTGGAGAAAGCTAGTAGACAACCGAAGTCGGAGAAGAAGCTAGAAGTTGTTGATGAAGGGACAACTGAATGAGGGGCGTGCTCGAGGGGAGGACTGCTTCAGATGGGGGCGCATCAATCACAGGGCACAAATGCATGGTCCCACAGTGAGAGAGAAGATAAAGCTGATGTGGAAGGACAGGTGGCAAGGTTGGTAAGATGTGGTATAGATGAAGGGGAAAGGGACTGTGAGTGTATTAGGGGGAAAGGAAAGAGTAAAGCCTTAAGGAATTTGATGGAGAATTTAGTGGACTATAAGCCGAGGAAAAGACGATGCGAAGGGGTCGTTATCCGGGAAATCGAGGGCTCGAATTCGAATTCGGATCCACAACCAGACCGAACATCAAAAAGGCTAAAATTAGTTAGAAAAAGAGAGTGGGGTAGTATGGGGTGGACTGGGAACCCCAACAGGACTCTGAAGACTGGGAGGAGGAGGAAGAGGATTGCGATATTGATAATTTGCTGGTGGATAATGTGAAGGACCAGGATTTATTCGGGGAAGCAAAAGGGAACAAGAAACTAGCAACTGTGGACATGGATTTGGATGCGATGAGTTGCGTTAGAAAAAGGTTCGGGAACTCCGACCAATGTTGCAAAGAGGTAAGTTGCTGCTCTCCATTTTTATGTATTAATGGTTTAAGTTTTGTCTCTTCTGTTATTGTAACTCGGGATAAGGGAAAACCTATTTTTGACATTCACCAGGCTTTTGTTAAAGGTAATTCTAAATTGGTGGTAAGTTGGGGAAGAAATAAAAGAGAGAATAAGTTGTTTACAAAAAGACTAAGTTTAAAAAAAAAAACCAAAAAGCTTGTTATGGTAAATTGGGAAGGGACTCTTTTTGGGAAAATATTTAGAAGGGTGGAGAAGGAGCCACCAAGAGGTTGGGAAAAGTGTTAGGAAGAAGATAAGTCCATCCAGATGGAATAGGGTTAGGAGGAGTTTAGTGTCAATTGCAGGGGGGCATAAAGTTGGTGGAAGGGGTTCTTAGTGTCACTAAGCCCTGTATTCCTATTTTTGGGCCTCTCTACTAGAATGAGTTTGAGTTTGTTTCAGTATGGTTCATTAAAAACAATAAGTGGGTTAGGGATGTTGTCCCGCAACAGTTTCTAGGTAAAAAATGAGGATTTTAAGTTGGTCCCCTGACAATTCATGCTTTGAGAGAGACTTGTAGTAGAGGTGGAGTTGATGTAATCTTCCTAATGGAAACCAAAATCTCATTTTTTAAATGTAAAAACTATTTCAAATGGGTTAAGGATTGGAATGGTTGGGGAGTAGACTCAGTAGGGCTTAGTGGTGGACTGACACTGTTTTGGAAAAAGGATGTGGATGGGAGGGTCATCTATGCTAATAAAAACATCATTCATGTTAAGTTTAATGATCAAAAGGGTTACTAGCATTGCTCGTTTATCTATGGGGAACCAAAGAAAGGCTTAAGAAGTGCATTTTTGTTTAAATGGAAGAGATTAGTTGGGTGGGTGCAGGGTCCTTGGGCCTGTTTAGGGGGCCTTAATTTTGTATTACATGGCTCAAAAAAGGAAGGAGATAGAGTTATTGAAATACAATAAGTTCTTAGAAGTTTGTGGCTTACAGGAGGTGCAGAGTGATGGCCCAACCTTTATTTAGTCAAATAAGAGGGATGGGGATAAGCTTATAAGAGCAAAATTAGATAGAGTGCTTTGTAACTCTTAGTGGCTTAATCAGTTTGAGAACTGTAGGGCCAGCACTTTAGTTTCATTAGGATCGGACCATCTTCCAATTCTGTTAGAAACAGTCCCAAGGAATCAAAAGAAGAGGGTGTTCAGATTTGAAGAAATGTGGATGGATCACGAGGAATTCCAAGGTTTGCTGGAAAGAGTTTGGGGAAAGAGGAGGATAGGTCCCAGTCAGCTCAAATTGGGAGGCAAATGCAGAAATCTAAAAGAACATATAAAATAATGGAATAGAAATACATTTAGAAATGTGAGAAGGAAAATTTAGGAGGCCAAAGACATGGGCTTAGTAGAGAGGTTAGTAAAATTGGATTGGACATTAACCAAAATAAGGCAAGACAGTTTGAGGAAAATTTGAATAAGTGGATGAGGAGAGAAGAAGTAATGTGGATGTAGAAATCGAGGATAAATTGGTTGCAAATCAGGGATAAAAACCCAAAATTATTCCATTCAATTGCGAAAGGTAGGCAAGCAAGAATAGGATAGTAGCCCTTAAAAGATGTAAATGGGAAATGACTGTCCTTGGAGGATGATATCTCAAAGAAGTTAGAGAACCATTTTATGAGCATTTTCAATTCCTTGAATCCGAAAAGGCAAGAGGAATTCCTTGATTGTGTGAGTCCAAAGCTGAGTGAACAGGACAAGAACTTCTTAGAAAAGGATATAATAGATGAAGAGATCAAAGCAACCTTATTCCAAATAGCCCCCAGGAAAGCTCTAGGTCCGAATGGTTTACCAAATCTCATTTTTCAAAGATATTGGGATATAGTGGGAGGATGTAACCAGGGTTGTTAAGGGATTCTTCGATTTGAGCAATCTACTTAGAGAGTTTAATGAAACTTATATAGCCTTGATTCCAAAAGTAAAAAACCTTGAGGAAGCTTCCCATTACAGACCTATTAGTCTTTGTAACACACTTTATAAAATAATAGCAAAAATACTAGCCAATAGGATTAAACCTATGATGAGTAACATCATTAGTGAAAACCAAAGTGCATTCACACTAGGCATATACATCCAAGACAACATTTTGGTGGCTCATGAAATTATTCACTTCATGAAAAATACCAAGGGGAGAACCCCTTGGATGGCTATTAAGTTAGATATGAGTAAGGCCTATGATAGAGTGGAGTGAAGCTTTTAGGGAAAACCATGAGGAAACTAGTGTTTGGAGCCAAAGGGGTTGGTTGGATTATGAAATGTGTTTCATCAGTCACTTATAGGGTGTTGGTAAATGGAAGACCGGGAAGGAAATTTGTCCTAAAAAGGGGTTTGAGGTAGGGGGATCCTTTGTCCCCCTACCTTTTTCTTCTATGCTTAGAAACTTTGTCATTAAGGCTCTCAGAGCTAGCTACCCAGGGGAAGATCAATGGCATTTCTATTTCCAAAAACTGTCCAACTGTCTCTCACTTGTTTTTTGCAGATGACAGTTACATATTCTCTAAAGTAGAGTTGGGGGAAGGGCAAGCTATTCTGGAAGCTCTCAAATCATATGGAGAGGCATTAGGGCAATAGGTAAATTTTCAAAAATCTGAGTTTTTTTTCAGTAGAAATCTCCATCATAGGCTTCAAAGATTGTTAGCAGGTTTCTTAAAAATGAAAAAAGTTGAATCACCTTCCATCTATTTGGGATTCTCTACTAAAATTGGTAGATCTAAGAAAGTCTTGTTCAATTTTCTTATTGAAAGGGTTAGTAAGCTGCTGTCCAAGTGGGAAGATCTCCTATGAGGAGTGAAGTCACTGACAATGTAGTAAGATTGAGAAAGGACCAGTGGGCCAAAGTTTGAAAAGCCAAAATTGATCCAAAGATAAAAAAAATTTATTTGGAAATGTTCCTAGAATGCTTTAGCTGTCAAAGAAAACCTTTACAAAAGAAAGCTCTTAAATGAAAGCAACTGCTCTATTTGCTCTCACCAAATTGAATCTATCATTCATTGTCTATTTGACTGTGATCATGCCAAGTCCACGTGATTTGGGTCTCATATTGACTGCGTAGGGTCTCGAAGAGGACAACTAAATTCTTTTAACGAGTGGCTTTCGATGTGGTTGGACTTGTGCTCAAAAGATAAAGAAAGAAAAGATATTTGATTTCTTTTTCTTTTCTATTATTATGGAATATTTGAAAAGCTAGGAATGGAAAATTTGTTGACAATGTAGACCCCATTCTGAGAGTCACCTTGGCTTTATCTTAGAAGATGTGGAGAGAGAGAGAGTGATGATTTCCCAAGCATGATTGCGAGGTTCTTCTCTTCATCCTCTAAGACATAGCGCTTGGGTTACTTCTTTTTGGATAAGGATGTTGAAACTAAACGTGGATGGAGTTTTTTGTGCCCAGGTAATTCTGGTTTTGGTGCAGTGCTTAGAAATGATGAAGGGAAGGTTATTGCTGCTGTTTTTGGAAGGTCAACAACTTATTCTCCCATTCAAGCAGAATCAGTGACGATCCTTAATAGCCTTGAAATTTTGAGCATATATAAGGAAGAAAATTTATCAGTGGAATCTGATGACTACCAAGTGTTGGTGCATGCTTTGAAGATAGGAGATTTTGAGATGGCTTTGGATGCTAATTTCCTATGCATGGACATTGACTGTTTGACTGGAGGTCATTCTATCTCTTGTAATCATGTTAATAGATGATGTAATTATGTAGCTCACTTGTTAGCTAAAAGGGGTCTACTAGAGTTTGCAGTTTTTGTGCAAGATCCCCCTAGGTGTGTCCAAGAATTGGCCAATGCAAACTCTAATAGACCTTAAGCGGTTTTTGTATTGTACTTTGAATATAATCTTGCTTACTTTTACCAAAAAATAGAGGTATTTTAGTGGAAAAATATATAAATTAACTTACAAAAGGGTAAAATGGGTATTTAAAAAAATTGATGCATTGGTCTAACGTCTTCCATCTGGATTAGTGACAAAAGGGAGGTTTTTGTTGAATTCTTTAAAAGTTCAAGGGAGCTTTTTGCTAAAGTAAAACTACAAGGGAGGTTCTTATGATTTCCGAAACCTTAGGGGAGGTTTTTGCATTTTACCCTTTAAAATAAGTACTTGAAAAAATTGGGTGCCAAATACAAATAAGTACTTATTCGAATAAGCACTTGTTTTTAAACACTTATTTTTCACATAAACACTCCCAAACATGACCTAAAAACAATAAGTCATTCAATTCAATAACTTTAGTTGTTATTCAATATAAACTGCGGTTTGATAAGAGCTGAAGTGGCTGAATTAAAAATTACTTACTGTTTTATCATTTAGTGAATAAGTCATTAAGGAGCCTTTAGTGAACTCTTTAATTGCTGAGAGTGAAGTTGGGTTAATTTTGGTACCCTTGGAATATTTTATTGTTTAGTTATTTCATTTTTATCCAACAAAAATAATAAGTCATTCAGTTCAATCACTTCAGCGTGATCAAATGGTCCCTAATTCGTGCGTGAGATATACAATTATTTAAAGAATATCTAAAAACTCAAAAAACAGAAAAAAATGTCAAAACCATTATGATAATGTATTACTAGATGAAAAATATTGGACATTTAGGGCTGCGACGAAGAATTTCAATTACATTGGGACCGGGTGCGGTTTTGGGTTTGAGTCCATTGAAAAGTAAACAAATTCCCAACCTGACCCGACCCATTTAAGACATTTTTTGTATTTTATCATAACACGCTAATAAGTAATAACTCTCCGGTACTCTTGGTAGTTCAATAGAAAGAATGGAGAAGACAACTGCTGAAGCTTCCAGTACCCGAATTGGTTCAGTATCAGTGTCAATTTGGGAAGCATTTCGGTTGCATTTGATCTGTGGGTTAGGATTAGCAGTAGCATTCTGGGTTGTCCACAACGTCTATTCTCTTGATCTCATCTCTAACCCTGATCACACCCTATTTCTCATCTGGGTACATTAAGCATACGACCTTTAATGGAGACCCGCTATGCTTTGCATCTGAAAAAAAAATCTAATTCGTTGTTTTTCTTATGTTGATATGAATCTTTTGGTAGGTTATCGAGACACCAATAGTAATCGGAGTTTACAGTATGTCACGATGGGATCCCGAACAATGCTCAGTAACTTTCTAATCTCCTTTTTCTTAGTTTTAATTTGTGTCCTTGATCTGTTCTATATCTCCAATATTTGATAATTTATTAGGGTTTTGATAGTTGTTAACAGTTCTTGAAGGCGGTTGGACATGGCTTACTGGGAATTCCAGCTGGTGGGTATGCAGTCTAAGTTCTAATAGTTTAACCTTTGAGTGTTTCTTTGTGAAATTTGATTAGTAATATATTTAATGCTTGAACTGGTTCTTGTGTTCTACATTTTGGAAACTAGTTTTGAACTTACACAAGATGGTAGACAATTCTGCTCCTTAACCATTCGACAGAATTACTACGTGATCAGACAAAAGGATGATGTGCATTATACTTCGGTAGTGTTTGACCCAGATTAACCCACACTTGTTGCTTATGGGTTAAGAACATCGCATTAAGCAGTTGATTCTGGATTGGAACTTCCATTTTCTCCCCCTAAAACCGGGTATTTTGGTCTTAAGTTAGAGAGGCAATTTGGTTTTTCAGAAAATTTGTTCAAATATTTCAGGGCAATTATGTTTAAAAGGATTATCAATGATCTGGTTTACGAGTCAGTTATTTGGGAGTTTGATTGCAATTAACTTTTAAAGTAAGTATTTGCAAAAGCAGATAGCTGTTCTTGGGGATAGATAGTTCAGTAGTCCCAGCATTTTGTGCTTACTGCCATTTGTCCATTAGCCAAAAACACTCCATCCATAACCATAAAGGACTTTAATGTGACCAAACACAGTTTGACACTCAATACTGTTATATGGCCCCAAGATCTGCTTTTGCCATAAATGCCACTGTAAAATCAATTGAAGGTTTCTTATTCTTTTTGTTGATTCATTTTTTCCCTTTATTGATGCACTTCTTCTTTCTAGTAATATTTTTAAACTTTCACATGTTTTATGCACTTTTAATTTGTGAAGTGCATGCTATTTCTTAATGCTTTATATTTTCTGTAGCATAATTTGTATAGCTTCTGTTCTTGTAGGGGCATTTTTAAATGCATTTGGAGCTATTGTTTTGGGGGCACCTATTGGAATTTTGTAAGTGATGTTATATGCACCCATACAAAATTGCTAGAAATAATACAGCCACTGGGAGATATTTATGGATAATCTCTTACAAGATGCTCTTGTATTCAACTTTGCTAAACTTTCTTTGTACTTCATTTTTTTTTTATGGAGACAGGTATATAAAGAGAACCGTTAACTGGTCCCTGCTCATGTCCTTGTTCACTGTAAGCACCAAACCCTTGTCTTCCTCTTTATGATCTTGATTGAATACCTTATTGTATTTAGTGATCCAAGGGAGTAAAAGAGAGCCATTGAACTTGCATTCAATCTTATGGTTGATCTTGGATATTTTCTGTAGTGAAGAACAATCTTACATGTAAAATAAATGATCTTGGATATTTTCTGGAGTGAAGGACAATTCCCTTACATGTACAAAAAAAAAAGATCCGCAAAAGCCCCAGGTACTGGCTTTACATACAATGACTAGAGGAAAGAAGTTGCCCCTTCTAGAGTTTTTATTCCCTGATGGATAACAATTCACCATATGGTAAAATCTTGGGCTGACCAGTTTGAGAATGTGGTTTGAGTCTGAGAGCTTCAACTTTTTGCAAAAAATGCCAAAGATTTGGTCCATATTGAGTCTTCCCCTTCCATGACCCCAATAGCTAGGACCAACATATTCACCATATATATAGAATCTGCATACAAGGAGGAACCAATGATTTCAAACAAAAATTAAGAACTCATCAAGGCAGTGCCACAGCTCTTTAAAGTATATCCTCCACAGAAGGGTTAAAAAGAATCCCGTCCAAAAGCCTTTATATATAAAATCCTAACAAGGTTGCAATTCCCAGCCAGCCTACACGAAAAAGGAGAGGCCAAGAGCTCAAAACCCATAGATCAGCAATTAGGGATAAATGATCTTAGGGCAGACAAATGCTTATGAAGTAAAACTTCTCAAGTCTCAAGTTCATATCCTTTTTATGGTTTTCTATTCTTCTTGCTATAACTGAGAGTTATAGAAATTTGTGTTTGTGTTTTGTGTGTATCAGTGGATGTGTGATTGCAGTTATCATAGTTTTAAAGGTGCCAAGGCAAAGCTAGGGAATAGGGGGGCCTTATAGTTTAGGGGCTTAGGCTTCTGCCTAGTGATGTCTTTTTTTTCTTTTTTTTTTTCTTTTTAACAAAAATATAAATTCCAGTGTAGTCATAGTCCCTAGGTTTCACGGCAACCGGCAGTCATCTTTCATTAATAATTGCCAATAATTCTTGTGAAATAAGTATAGCCCCATATCAAAACATAGAACATCAACATATTCGTGAGAAGAACAATAAAGAAAAGAAAACATACCTTTGCCGCTATTATGTGTTGATTGTATGAAATCTTCAAGTTCTTTGCTTATTGGTTTAGGTTTTGAAGTCTTCAAGGATTCAAGACAGCATCCATTGATTTGTATGTTGATCAAACCTAAACAAATAAGAAAATAATAAAAGAAAACTAGTATAAGAATCATGAAAATATTATAGACTTACAAAACGAATAATTTAATGTAATAATGCCTATTGTAATAGTATAATATCATAGAATAAAAAAATATAAAAAATATTATACAGTATCCTTGTACCAAAACAACTTGGTGCTTGGGTGAGGCGGCCCTCCATGGAAAAAAACAGCCTGAGCTGTTTTGAAGCTTCCTGCACATGACACATTACCCCATTTAGTAAATTATTGCTTTTTAATTAAAATATTATTGATTGCAATTACTGTTTTAACCCACACCCATGCTAATGTGTCATGCACATGAAACTTCAAAACAGCCCAGGCTGTTTTTTCCAAACAGCCAAACTTCCCCCTTTGTCACCTAGAAATTGCCTTGATTACTATCACAGTTATGAATGCACTTATGAACTTAAGTTCACCCTACAATTTTCCAAATTATACATGAATATGTAATAGAAATACCTCCACATTTAGTTCCCTGTTTTTCTTCTCCAACATGCTATATCTTTATTACATAGGTTACTGAAGTAGATAACCAACCTGTCTCTGTATTTTTGCAGTTTGCACCTGCAGCTTCTGTTTTTGGTTCATCATGGAACAATTGGCAGCGTCTGTTTGCATATGCCAAGTAAGTATTTCGGTTTATTAAGTTTTACTTCCCTGTGCAAAACCATAAATGTCAAGTAATCTAGTTTCATCACTATAAAGCAAATTCGTGGAAGGATGTTATGCAATCATTATTCTCAATTATTGTCTACTATGTGCTATTTGTGATGGATTACATATAAAATTTCTTAGGCCAGCTGGCATTGTTGATTACATGATTTGTCTACCAGCTCATGGGACCGTTATTGGAGCTTGGCTTGGGGCTTGGCCTATACCTCTTGATTGGGAAAGGCCATGGCAGGTAAGATTTTCTTGCTCCTAATTCAATTAAAATTTATGACATTTATTTGTTATTTTGTTTGAATTCCTACTTTTTCTTTGCTAACATCACCAATAATATGCATGTCCTTGAGTCCAGTTATATGTGTAATTGCTACTTTTACCTGATTTTTTAAGGTGGTACTAAATTTTTGTCTAAAATTTTGTTCTACATTATTGGATAAAATCTTATCTGAGTCTAATCATCTTTAATATCAAGATTAGAGAAATTTATACATAGTTTGGGGCACATGTTTCTTTGTTTTAGGAGTTTAGTCATGTTGGGGGTGGTGGTGTTGTGAGTTCTGCTGTTCTTTTTTTGTTTAGCGCTGTATTGATAGATTTCTTATCACCGTTTGTACTCTTTTTTCTTTTAATAAAATTTTATTTTACCTTCAAAAGAATGTTGATTTTTGTTTGTCTAGTTGTGAGGCCTCCCTTATAACCATTTTGTCCATCTGGTATTTCAGAAACAAGTACAAATATGAACATGTATAAGGCAAAATAACTCTCCATTTCTTGACTCTATGGCATGGATACAGATACAAGCAATGTTTTAAAAAATGACCTAGAACTGGAACTGTTTTGGCCACTGGTTTCTGGGTCAACGGTTCAAATGTCTGGTTCGAATGGACGGCCCATTCTGACAAAAAAAAAAATTAAAATAAAAAACGACCAAAAAATGTTGAACAGGTTGACAGTTCGATCGCCTGGGTCAACAGGTTGTTGACTGAATCAACAGTTTTTTGCCAGGGATCGGGTTTGGGGTAAAACGGAACCAGTTGCCTGTACGGTTCCCGGGCCGAATGGTCCGACCGTCCTTGTCAATGGCGGTTCGAAAACCATGGATACAAGTGTCCCATATAATATGATAATGCCATATTTTTAAATTGGGAAAATCTATGATACTGGAAAGTCATGATACTGGAAGAGCTTTGACCATTAAAACATCCCCATGAATTTTGATGAATACCACCGGATTGTCACCTTTTATATGATACCAGTTGGTTGGCAGTAAGTTTTTCCAATATCATGTCTTGCCTTGTCATGGTCGAACCCTTATAAATTTAATAAAGCTTCTAACATATATGGTTTTTTTGATCAATTTAACAATTAACATGTACAAGTTTGTTATATTATGATTTGTTAAAATATACCATATATATTTTAGAGGTATCCATGTGGTAAAATATATTCTAGAAGTGTCGTTACTATTTCTGGTGTCATGTAGGATGCATATCATGCCCAACATGGGTAAAATGGAGATTCTGATTATAATAGCTGACTAACATACTAAGATTTGCTTGGAAGTGATTACCCTGTTAAATGCTGCATACAGGAGACTGGATTGTTTAGGGAACGGATTTGAATGGGGTGGGAATACATAACAGCATTCCCTATGCATAAGGGCTATGGAGATGTCCTGTCTCAGTTTGGCAACTTAACAACCAATGAAACTCTGTTATTCAATTAAGAGGACCAATGAAGTATCGTTTCTAGATGAAAACCATGAAATAGTGTTGATACTCTAGATATCATATACCAATTACAAACAAAAGAATCAAGTCACCCCCAATTTACCGAAGTTCAATAATGTTGTTTATCACCAATACAATGGTGCTGGCTTCTGGACAAATTGAGAACTTAATGTTTATCCTATCTATAATACAAGACATCCCTAGTTTGCCGAAGTTCAATGTTGTTTTATGAAACTTGTCCTAATTGAATTAAACTTGCACTAGTTGATTTCTGTTGGAAATATTTACTAAATTTCTTAGTTGTCTGAGTCAATAGGAGTTTGTTTTTTTGGTTGTTTTAGTTTGTTTTGTTTTTTACCTGGTCTATAGGAGAATACGTGGTTTTAGGAGTATGTTGCATGTTTTTTGTTTGTGAGCACTTTATTAGCAGTTGGTGGTTGCACTTCCTAGTTTCAAGCATTTATCCATTTGGTTTTAGCTCTATAAATAGAGCATCTTCTTATTGTGAAAAATGCATCAGATTTCAGAAACAACAAAGTTCAGTCCTTGTTTCTCTTATTTGTCTTTTCTTCCTCAATATACATTTATCAGTGGTATCAGAGCTTGGTTAAGAAAGAGTCACGAAAAAAAGGAGAGTATAGCAGTAGCTTTCTTCCTTATCTTTTGTATTGCAGAGAGAAAAGTGTGGAAGTGTCACAACAACATCCCGTATGGCTACTGACAACTTTGTTCAACCTGCCATCCCGCACTTTGATGGTCACTATAACCATTGGAGTATGTTGATGGAGAACTTCTTGAGATCCAAAGAATATTGGCAGGTTGTCTCCAATGGAATAGTAGAACCAATAGCAGGCACAACAGTGACAGATGCACAGAAAATAGAACTAGAAGGACAACGTTTGAAGGATCTCAAAGCGAAAAATTATCTTTTCCAAGCGATTGATCGTTCAATCTTGGAAACCATTCTTTGCAAGGACACGTCCAAGCACATTTGGGATTCCATGAAGAAGAAGTATCAAGGTTTCGCAAGGGCAAAGAGGCAACAGCTTCAAGCACTTCGTTCGGAGTTCGAAACGCTACGAATGAAATCGGGAGAGTCGGTCACAGATTAGTTTTCACGGATGATGGCAATCATCAATAAGATGCGGATCCACGGCGACAAGACGGAGGACGTCACCATAGTAGAGAAGATTCTTCGATCCATGACACCAAAGTTTAATTTTGTTGTTTGTTCCATAGAAGAATCTCATGATATTGATGAACTTTCAATTAACGAATTACAAAGTTCTTTGTTGGTTCATGAGCATAAAATCAACCAGCAGGAGAAAGAGGAGCAAGCTTTGAAGGCCTTCACAGAAAATCATCCGACACCAAGAAGAGATAGAGGACGAGGTAGAGGCAGAGGTAGAGAATGCAATGATCGTGGAAACCAACAACAACATCAACATCAAGACAACCAAGTTCAAGGAAGAGGAAGAGGACGAGGAGACCACCACTCGACTACATATAGACCAAGGTTAGCAGACAAGTCCAATGTCGAGTGCTACAGATGTCACAGGTACGGCCACTACAAGTCTAAATTTCGAACTAATCTGAATAGCCAAGATGGACATGGAGAGATGTCTAATCTTGCAGAGAAGGAATAAGAAGTATCCTTGTTAATGGTTTGTCATGCAAAGGAGGAAACCAACAAGAATTTGTGGTACTTAGACACAGGCTGCAACAATCATATGTGTGGAGACAAGTCTGCATTCTCTTATTTGGATGAGTCATTTCGCGATAATGTGAAGTTTGGTGACAATTTTAGAGTCTCAGTTATGGGAAAAGGAAGGGTGACAATCCAAACCAAGGGGGATTCTACTCAAACAATCTCTAATGTGCTCTTCGTTCCAAACTTGAAGACCAGTCTGCTTAGTGTGGGTCAGCTACAAGAAAAGGGATACGAGGTTTCTATCAAAGATGGAGTTTGTTGAATTCAAGATGCAAAGTTAGGCTTAATTGCTCAAGTTAACATGACAGCGAATCGTATGTTTCCGCTTCATCTCCACAACATCACTCATTCATGCTTTTCAGCCAAATTGAAGGATGCAGCATGGCAATGGCATTTTCGCTATGGTCACCTAAACTTTGGTGGACTAAAGACTCTACAACAGAAAAATATGGTGATTGGTCTTCATCAAATTACATCTCCATCTGAAGTTTGTGAAGAATGTGTTGTTAGCAAATAACGCCGTAATCAATTTCCGAAAGGAAAATCATGGAGAGTGAAAAAGGCATTGGAGCTGGTTCATTCTGATCTTTGCGGGCCAATTAATCCATCTTCCAATGGAGGTAAAATGTACATAATTACCTTCATTGATGATTATAGTCGAAAAATATGGGTATATTTTTTGTAGGAAAAATATGAAGCTTTTGCAGCCTTTAAAAATTATAAAGTGCTTGTTGAGAAAGAAGTTGGCAGCCCAATAAAGGTTCTTCGCACTGAGTGGAGAATACAACTCACTTGAATTCGCAAATTTTTGTGAGACCCATGGAATCAAGAGGCAACTTATGGCAACTTACACGCCTCAACAAAATGGAGTTTGTGAGCGGAAAAATCGCACTATTTTGAATATGATGCGAAGTCTTTTGAAGAGGAGCGGCATTCCAAAAACTTTCTGGCCTGAAGCAGTCAATTGGAGCATTCATATTTTGAATAGATGTCCCACACTCGCTGTTCAAAATATGACACCAGAGGAAGCATGGAGCGGACGGAGACTGGTAGTAGATCATTTCAGAATTTTTGGGTGTATTGGCTATGCTCATAAGAAGTCTTTGCTCCTGTTGCAAGACATGATATGATCAGATTGGTGATTGCATTGGCAGCTCAACATTCATGGCCTATCTTCCAATTGGACGTGAAATCAGCATTCTTGCATGGTGACCTACAGGAACAAGTATTTATTGATCAACCTCCTGGTTATGTGAAGCTTGGAAGTGAAAATAAGGCTTATAAACTCAAAAAGGCATTATACGGGCTAAAACAAGCACCACRCGCTTGGTATAGTCGTATAGATGCTTATTTTTCTAAAGAGGGATTTAAGAAATGTCCATATGAGCATACACTTTTTATAAAGATTGAAGATGAAGGAAAATTGCTTATTGTTTGCTTATATGTTGACGATCTTATTTTCACTGGAAATGATAGTGCCATGTTTGAAAGTTTTAAGAAGTTCATGATGATTGAGTTTGATATGTCTGATCTTGGAAAGATGCATTATTTTTTGGGTATTGAAGTGATGCAATCTGCAGCTGAAATTTTTATTTCACAAAGGAAATATGTGCAATAAATTTTGGATAGGTTTCAAATGAAAAATTGCAATTCTGTTAGCACGCCGACTGAAGTGGGTCAGAAGCTTGTTCGAAATCCTGAAGGAAGGAAGATTGATAGCACTCTTTACAAGCAAATTGTAGGGAGTCTGATGTATTTAACAACTATAAGACCTGACATAATGCATGCTGTAAGTCTCATAAGCAGGTTCATAGAGTGTCCAAAAGAGATTCATCTCTTAGCTGCAAAATGAATCTTTCGATACTTGCAAGGGACTGCTAGTTATGGGCTGTTCTGTTCTATAAGAAAGGAGAAAAATCAGATTTGTTTGGTTTCACTGACAGTGATTACGCCGGAGATTTAGATGATCGGAAAAGCACTTTAGGATATGTTTTCATGCTTGGTTCTGGAGCTGTTTCGTGGTCTTCAAAAAAGCAATCAATTGTCACTTTGTCAACAACTGAAGCAGAGTTTGTAGCTGCAACAGGCTGTGCCTGCCAAGCTTTTGGTTGAAGAAAATTCTTGGAGAGCTAAACTTTAAACGACAAGGGCTTATAACAATTTTTTGTGACAACAGTTCTTCCATTAAACTCTCCAAAAATCCTGTTCTACATAGAAGAAGTAAGCTTATTGATGTGAAGTTTCACTTTTTCAGGAACCTGTCAAATGAAGGAGTCATTGATCTCGTCTACTGCAAGAGTGAAGACCAGATTGCTGATATAATGACCAAGCCTCTCAAATTGGCGCCGTTTGTGAAGTTTAGAAAATTGCTTGGTGTCTCCACTTTGGAAGGTCCAGCTTGAAGAAAGTTCGCTAGTTCGCTGCTAATATTTTTAAACTGAATGTTTGAAAACTTTCAGTTTAAGGGAGGGATAATTGTTGGGAATATTTACTAATTTTCTTAGTTGTCCGAGTCAATAGGAGTTTGTTTTTTTGGTGGTTTTAGTTTGTTTTGTTTTTTACCTGGTCTATAGGAGAATACGTGGTTTTAGGAGTATGTTGCATGTTTTTTGTTTGTGAGCACTTTATTAGGAGTTGGTGGTTGCACTTCCTAGTTTCAAGCATTTATCCGTTTGGTTTTAGCTCTATAAATAGAGCATCTTCTTGTTGTGAAAAATGCATCAGATTTCAGAAACAACAAAGTTCAGTCCTTGTTTCTCTTATTTGTCTTTTCTTCCTCAATATACATTTATCAATTTCATCTTAGTGGCACCCCAATTTGCATATTTTAGGGTATTCCTGGCATGAAGTTAATCACTGAGATGGATTCTTCATACTGGCAGCAAAATTATCATTGCAATAAATGTGCAAGACTCAATAAAAGTAGCATGGTTTTTATGTTCCAGGGTCTTGACTCTTCATTTTTTTTTCTAGTCTTAAATGACATCCACATTATAGCTGGTTTACCAAATTGACTTATCCACACCTCTCCAATCCTGTAAAACTCTAGTGTTTGGTGTTCTTTCTCTTTTCAAACTCAAAAAATGATGCTATTATCCTTTGTAGGAATGGCCAATTTCTGTCAGCTATGGAGCAATTGCTGGGTATATTATCGGAATGGTTGCATCTTTGGGCTTCATACTTGTGTTTGACAGGAGACAGAAACATGTCAAAGGAGACTAATGGAACACTAGCAACTCATACCCTCTTCATTCTCTTCAACCAATAACTGCAAGGCTATGAGCACCATTGGCTTGATACACTATGATCCTTGGTGAAAATGCATGACCTCATTGATCAGGGTTCAAAATTTTCTCCGTATGAGAAAACTATGATGTTTGATGCAGCATGATTTGAAGTTTGAGGAATGTGATTGACACATTGTAATCAGAAATCTTGATCGGAGAAAAATCTGATATTGAATGTTAATTCTCAAAGCTTTGCATGAAAATGATTTACATTCTAAGTCCCCGTTTGCTATCCTAATAGGATAAATGAATCAATAGGGATCTTATACTGCAAGACAAGGTCCAAAATATTGACACGTATCAATCCGTATCGGCCGATACATATCATTTCGAGAGTTCCCTGATACATCCTTAGGGGGTGGAGGAACTTTAAACCGGCCCCCTGAATGGGTTTTGAAAAAAAAAAGTAAAAAAAAGTACTGATATAACCCAGTATGCCCGTACGGCATATCGTGCTTATTAATATTTTGAACCTTGCTGCAAGATTAGATCCCATTCTTGGAAGGAGATATTCGCAATTCGGCCCGTGGAAGCACAAGCTTGCCAATGAGCTGAAATTTACAAACTTGCTTAAATTGTGCTTAGGCTTGGACGCTTGATTAGTTTGACTTGAGGATTATTGGTCAAGGTTCAAGTATGGCAACGTAACGCAATCAACAAAACAAAAGCTAAGGGTAGGTTGGCCACCTCCCCAGATCCTGTCCAGATGTTTTCTGCTCAATTATCATCTCAAACCCTCTCTCTCCTTCACTGCTCTCTTCCAATCCAACCTCCATTGCTGCATTTCTGTGGGCTTTTCTTGATAACTTATCACCAATAAATATCTACTTATGGATGTACTAATCCTTGACAAATCCCTCTGGTTTAGGTACCTTTGCTTTTTCGTTGCAAAATGTAGTCAAACTATAATTTGATCAGATGGAGACAACCGAATTGCTTTCACCTTCTGTTGCTTTTTGTTTTTTCTTCAGACATACATTGTCTAGCTACATGAATAATTGACGATTTGGCCTTAAGATGCTTTCCATTTAAAATCTATATATATTATCTATGGCTAGACAACACCAACATAGGCCGGGCTACCCATATCACTTTGCTTTTACATGCTTAATTTATCTTTTGTGGACCTATGTTCCATGTGATTGTCAACAAGAATTTTCACCTAACATGGACCAGGCATATGGCCGGTCGGACCAATTGACTTGAAATCAATACAAAATTTGGGCCTGAAATTTAGGCTCAGTGTGGAAGGAAAGAGTGCATATCATAACCCAACCTGAAAAAGTCAGGTTGATGCTCGGGTTAGGGTTAATCCCTCGGGTAACCCGACCCAACCTGAATCCGACTCTATAGTACATATCATATATATATATATATATCATATATTGATTTATTTATATGCATGATAATTGTTAGCCCTCACCACATACTATCATTTATTTCTTTGAAGATAATTACTTCACTTGATTGATCCTAATTAAAAATATTAAAACCTTAATAACATATTTTATGTTTTTGAAAGTTTTATTCTTTATCTCCTCTATGTTGTTTTACCACCCATAGCTTGTTGCCCATAAAAGGTCTATTATAAGTCATAACTCATAATAAACTATAGTCATTTCAAAAAACTTTTTTTTTTTTCTGAATTTTGTACTTAAAGAACCAATAAAAACATCAACAAACAAATACTCATAAAACATAGGATTAATATATGTAGTGAAAGTTGAGTTAAGATATGAGATTAAGAAGTTCTACAAGATTATAAGGGATGGGAAGAAGGTTGGGTTGGGCCCAACCTAACCTGAAGTTGACTTTGTGTTGGGTTAGGGTTGGATAGGTCAGGTTGGGGATTTAGAACTTAGGGTTGGCCTCAACCCAACCTAACCCGGCCCAACTTGCAGCCCTATGTATGATGCAAAACTTTATATATGATATTTATTAAGAGTCCGGATTTCCTACCATGACAACTCTACCCACACCTATTACTTGCCCATATAACATCGCAATCACATATGGGGAACATCCCATCCTCTTACATGTTATTATGCACGGGAGATGTTCTTAATGCACAGAGGTAGTATTTTGTGGGTAGGCATGGCTAAAATTATTGTGGATAGGAGATCTAGAGTCATTTCTTAAAGTTGTATTTGTGCTATACATATTCATATTTGCACTCCTTCCAAATGGAATCTTACCGGAAAGAAGTGCTTGATTAGTTACAAAAGAAATGAATTTTGGTGCCCAGCGGCCAGCGGGTTTTGTAACAAAATCCTCAAGAATTCACTAGGCAGCTGTTCGTGGAGTTGCTGGTCAAACAACTGAACCTATTTCCGGCCCATTTTTAGGCTTTGTGAAAATCTTAAATCTAGAAAGTCAATATGGACGTTCTGAATGTCAAAGTTGTACCTGTAAGGCTGTAACGTGAAGCTATTCTGAATAGTTTATTTAAAACATGGATGCTTAAATCAAAACGGCTCAATTAACGTACGCAGCTCACCCCAAATGCAGAAGGTGTCCCAAAAGGCGGCCTAAGCATGGCCGATTAGATATTATTAGCTGCGAAAACATCTAGGATGGTCTGGACACAGAGAGGTTGTAGATGGGTCTGAGTCCACATAACTTTTCCATAGGTATGATGGGTTTTAGATCTGATATTTTGGCAACATGGGTGGAGCTTTGCTTAGCTTTTTAGACTTTCTTTCTTCCATCCACTTTCACTTAAATATGATCAAATCACATGATGATAAATTTTGGTTCAATAATCAAGTGGGTGGGATTCATCCATCATGATGTGGCACCATATACCTCTGAAGTGGGTGATACTTTTCTATTCCTTTTAATATAAAATATAAAAGTATGTTTGTTTTGCTACATGGGCTCATCAATTTCTGCCACATGGAGGAATCCTATGGCTGGTCTATACCATCCTTACATAGGGGATCCACCTGATTGACTCTGTCCTTTGTGTTCATTCACATTTCATCACTAAACGACTCAAATAGGAAACCAGTTCTATAGTTTGGAGGATCTTGAAAGTTGAAGGAGCTGGATGGGATGATAACCTTACCAGATTTCAAATTGTGGGACAATCTGAAAAGAAGGATGAGGGCATGAAATGGCAGAGGGTGGTTGAAGATTTCTTGTACATGGAAAAATTGATGTTGGAGAGGCTTTATTTCATAGTGGACATACTATTTCATCGTCATTTGTCAATGGCGAATTTGGTGTAAGGTGAATTGCAGAGGCGGAAGTGAATGATGTAGAGGTCAGTACTTGAACTGAACACATTACTTTTGGAAGGGGAACGACGTTGGATAGGGCTGTCAAGGGACTCCAAAAGTCCCAAATCTAATCTGACGTTCAACTTGATTATCAGATGAGATTTTGCAATTATAAAAACCTGAATCCAAGTGTATTATGATTTATGATATATATATTGATTTTACTAATATATAATTATTTATAAAATATGAAAGTATGATTTTATATATTATACTATACTTAAATTTGTATATATAATACATTTAATATTTCAAATTTATATTAAATTGTGCTGAAACTTAATTATTATGGGGGTCGCAAGGATCGAAAATTAGACCACCACTTGGTACTATATCAAGGAATCATTTAACCTAAAGGGGCATTCTTTTTTTGGATTTTGAGAGGAGGGAAAGTTGGTCAATGGGACTTTGGTTCTCATTGACTAAGAATCCTATGTTTTTTTTTTTTTTTTTTTTCAGATTAATGTGGGGACCAGGGAAAGTTTATTTTCTTGGGTATCACCATCTCTTAGGTAGATAAATAACTTTCCCATATGAGGGAAAGTTTCCAACACTTGAATGGGACAGAAATAGCTCTTTTAATAATGGACTTTTATAGCTAAAATAGTCATTTCCTTTTTTATTTAAGAAATAAAAGAACATGTGAAATCCATTTACTTGGATAAGTATTTTTCAAGAAAAACTTACCTAGGTAAATTGCATTTACCCAAATAAATAACTTACCAAAAGACGAATGGGGCCAAAATATTAAGTTGTTAGACGAGATCCCTAGATAGGCCTTCTATTCTCTAACAGATTTGAGATCTTTAAATCCAACCTGATTCGGATTTCAGTTTTCATTAATTGTATCAGGTTTCAGTTTTGCTGAATCCGATCCCTTTACAACCCTCACGTTGGGAAATGAAGCTTGTTATTTAAGAAATTATAATCGTGTATTATAACTATGCTATTGCTATCCCTTGAGTTACAACTTACAAACCACTCAGCACACGTATCTTTTATAACTATCCAATACCCTCATTAATACTTTTATAGACATCAAAAGGATGAGAGAAGGCTTCGGAAATTGGAGTGTTTTAAAGTTTTTAAAATATCTTTATATCAATGTATCCTTGCATTTTTAAGTATATCGATATATATGATATATCAAATGATATCGATATTTTAATCCTTATAAAATATATAACAATTAATTACATATCCGACCCACACGTAGAAAGTTGCTATGAAAATCGGCCCATTACTAATTTACTTGGCTTTGATTCAGGCCAAAAACAACCCAGTAACCCACGTGCTCTTTGTTCAAAAATGCTGCCTTCGTGGCTCAGAAATTGAACACAAACATCACAAATAAATAATGTCAAACTTGACATGAACCCGTTTTGGCAAGCAGCATTGGACCTTAAATCGGATCGAATTCAGTCCACATGCTGCAATTTGCCATGCAAAACTGATCCAGTTGGGCCTCCGCTTACTTATTTGGGATTGAGCCAGCCACGCAGCTTCTGTAGTCTCCTCCGTTATAATATGATAGGGGATAACATTAACAATGCACCATATTTAGAAATTTAAATTCTTTATTAGGCCAAGAAGGTCAGTATTGAAATCAATGCCACCCTTTTAACCCAATTTCTATTTTGTACCATTTGATTCTCTTGATGGGAAATCAATATTTTCATAGATACAAATTTGTTCAACATGACACTAAACTCAGTTTGACTGAAATTTTTTGTCAAATTGTTAGAGACATAAGTTTCTGAATTGTCATTTTGTGCTTATAATGGGGCATTCTTCAAAACTGATATGCCATACCTGGTTATGTACAAAAATCCGTATTTTTTTTTTGGGGTCAAGAGAGATAAAGGAAATTAGTCTAGGAGACAAGAAATATTTGGTAATA